CACTTATTGTTCGTCTTCTGACGTGGTCTCTCACCTAATCCCAGTGATACCAAACTCCCAAAAGCCCTTCTGAAGCAGACCTAGGGATGGGCATTCCCTTAAGGAACTGTACCCGAGGCTTGACTGAAAGCACATGCTTTGAACTGCTGTGTTTCTTTCATCATGCACCAAACACACAACCAGGGAGCATGGTGGCTGGGGCAAAAATCAGGTGGCCGAGAACAGACAGAGAGCATGAGCTATGGTCCAGGAACATGGGGAATATCTCAGTTAAATTTACTTGAGACAGAAAGAAGGTGGGAGCCCAGTTCCAGCTGGTTTTGGACTAATGAGGCCCCCAAGCTTTAAGGCTCAGTTTAACTGCCATTGCAACCCCACACTGGGTGTCCTTGGGAAGAGGCAAGTGGTGTCATAAGCCAGGCATGAGCATGGCAAGCCAGGCTGGCGAGGGAGGAGATGAGGCTCCCTGCCATGCTGTGACTTGTTCCCACCCTCCAGCTTGCAGGTGCCAGCCTGTTGTGGTGGAGCAAGGGATGTGGTTCCTGTCCTTCACCTGCCTTGTCTGCTCAGCCAGAGCTGTTTGGGATGTACCATGCCTGTAGATACAGAAGACAGCACTTCCTGTCCTAGCTTGAAAGGTTTGCATGCTCCTACCAGCCAGGGGACACAGTGGCAACAGCAGCAGGTAACGGAGGAAAAGATGGAGGGCAGGCAGCACCTCTCCTCACTGAACCTCCCTTTGGAGGGGCAGTGACTGACCTTGGCATCAGAGGGGGCTCAGGACCTCAATCTGTGTGACAAGTTTTAATGGACTGCTTTGTCTGTGCAACTGTGGTTGGAAATACTCTCACTCAAACCCACATCCAAGCAAGCTGGGCCTGCTTCCAAAAAGCTAGTTACTTTTGCCTTGTTAGGCTTTTACACCGAGCAGCACATCAGTTTCTCCAGCAAGCAGGTTTCCAAGCAGACAGGAGCACCTGGAACAACCTGTTTCGATTAGCATTTTACTTATTTATGGCACCAGTGCTACATCCAATGCCTGCAGGTTGCAAAGGAGCCGTCCAGCTCCCACGTGCCAGCTGCGGAGAGCACTGCGGGTCCAGGCACAATGGGACTCGGCAGGGATGTGCTCACACTCACCTGCTTCATTTCAAGAACAATCCTGGAGCTGTGCAACTGGAGCTTGGTGTGGGTCACCCAGCTCCACGAGCTCCAGCAGTAGCACCAGCTGCTGGGTCACCTAAACGGGCTGAAGGCAAGTCTATATGCCAAAGTGGTAAAAAACCAACCCATGCACCCATGTCTCATCTGCTGTGGGGCACCAGAGTCACAGGGTACTTCGAGTAGGAAGGGACCCACAAGGATCATTGATTCCAGCTCGAGGATGGACCCCGTGACCTTGGCATCATTAGCACCATGCTCTTACCAGCTGAGCTAAACAGTTGTGAGATGCAGCTCAGCTCTGAGCACGTCTCTGTGTTGCATCTGGCAGCAAGTGAAGTGAAACGATGTGGAGCACTGCCTTGAAAGACCAGGACTGGGAGTAAACTGCAGTGGCAACATTGCAACAGAGTAAGTTGCTTGACTTCTCTTGACTGCCCTCGCTGGGAATAGGGAGGGAGTTGTTCTGCTCTTCCCTATAGAGAGGTGAGGAAGCCTCTGGGATCTTCCAGCAACACACTGCTTTTGTCAGCAAGCTTCAGTTCATCTGAATCGGACAAGTCCCCTCACTGCAAGATCCAGATGCTGTTGGAAGCACCTTCAGCAGAGATGCTCAGGAGGGATTGCTCCATAGTGCTGTTTCCCTGCTCTGCAAGGCACTATTTCATCCTGGCAAGCACATCTGGGGAAGGCAGCAGCAGAAAAACGGCTTGTGCTGAGGCTGAACATCCAAACCTGACACAGGCGCCCTGCAGGACCACTACTGCTCACCAGCACCCATAGCAGGCAACCTTTATATAGGGAGATGCATACTTACTCCACCATGCCCGACCTTCAAAGCACCCACAAAACCTGAGCTGCCTCACAACACAGTCATAGTGGACTGATGCTCCAGAATTGCTAACCTCTTTCCATAGTTCAGCATTCTCCTTGTCAAATTTATCTTGTCTCCTCTTCAGCAAGGAGCAATATAAATAATCTTCGGTCATCTCATCTGCTCCTGATCCTACAGTTCTCCCTAGAGATTTGCCACCACCTCAGTTGGGCTGCAAACTCCCTGGGCAGGAGCCAGTTTTGGTTTCTGTTGGTAAAAAGCCATATGCACCTCTGTGCCATCATGAAGTCTGCTAAAAGGCTGCATGACCCGAGCACAAGGTCACTGCCTGAGGAAGCGATCACGAGAATTTCTGCTCTCAGCGAAAGCTCATCATGTGAAACAGGCCAAAATGAGCCTTTAGCTTGCCCTGGGGAGACAATGGACCAGTCACAACATGAGCAGGATAAACGCAAATGAGATTTCAGGAGATGGCGGGCAAAGTACTTCCAGTGTGTGCAAGAGCAGGTGAAAGGAAGGACTCTGTTCACCGAGACCACAGGGAGGGAGAGCCCTTTGCCACCAGAAAAGTTTGGCTCACAGAGCATGGCAATAGGAAAGCTAAGTACAGATGCAATCGCGGTCTATAAATACACTCAGGGGAAAACACCAGGGAGGGAAAAGCACCATTTAAACTGAAGGGCACAAGATCACAAAAGCAAATGGATAAAACCCTAACCATGAATAGATTTATGGTGGAAGGCCCTGACCATTGGAACCACTGAGCACTCTCCCAAACAGAATGAGAAGGCCAAAAAAACCCATGAACTAGTCTTTTTTCCAGCAAAGTTCAACCAATTTATGGAAAGGGCCATAAAGGCTATGATGCTTGTGACAGCCTGAGAGAGGACTTCACTGCCCACAAGGACCTGTCTTCGTCTCAAGTTAAAAAAAAGACCAAAACGACAACTGAATATTTGGTGTAAGCTTGTGGCTCCCCTGTTTTGTGAAAGGAGAGAGGCTCAGGAGGACAGACAAGACCAAGACAGTGGAAAAACAAGAGAAGGAATGCACAGACTTGCACCATGATGGCCATGCCAGCCTCCCTCGCTGGACCACTGACCTGGAGCACCTCCAGCTCCTGCAAAAGGACTTCAATTTCCATGGCCAAGTGAAGTGCCTGGGGTAAATCCCATCTTGTCCTCTGTCAAGGTCAGATGACCAGGGGGAAACAGCACAGGGTCCCAAGGAGATGCCAGTCCCTGGGAAGTGCTTCTTGCCTGGGGAGACCTTGCAGGGCACAAAGCTGAGCTCAGCAAGCAAGCCAACAGTGTACTCTGAAGCAGACTAGGTGCCTAATTAAAAAACAAACATATTTCTTGTTCTCTCTCCCTCACTGGTGACTATGGGAAGCCAAAATCCTGCAGTGTTTGGATAAAGGGGAAAAAACCCACCAGACAGAGCGGCAGAGAGAGAAAGAGGAAATTCTGCCACAGAGATTAGCAGTGGGAGAGCCTTTGTAGGTCACATCACGTCCATCATCCCGGGGCATGCAGGCTGGCTCCACTCCAGCCACCCAGGAGCAGGGGGCACACATACCCCCTCGCCTGGCCTCCAGCCGCAGCCAGCCTGCTCCTGGCATGATGTGCTGTAGTGTAAACAAGCGCAGGCACATGGACAGACAGACAGAATGCCCGCATTAATCATGTCCTTAGCTGTCTTGGGGCTCTACAGCTGCCCTCCGAGTCACATCACCCGGAGGGGACATCACCCACCCACCCAGCTGGGAGGAAAAGGGCTGCCTCCCCACCACCAGCAGGGAGCCAGGCCACCTTCCCTTTTCCTCCTCATTTCCCCCACCTAGCACTGCTTTTATTTTCCCAAAGCCAGCCTGCTGCCTTTCCTCTCAGCTTCCATGCGCATGAGTCTCCTCCACTCTCTCTCCCTGCCCTCCCTTCTCCGCTACCGGCCGAGACCTCAATCTCTCCCCCGCCAGCTCAGTGCTGCAGCACTCGCTCCCTTAATCCCAATGACCTTCTTGCACATATGTGCTGGCCCCACGGGCAGCCATGGGATCGGCATCACGGGAAGAGGAAGAGACCTTCTCCTGACACCCCCATAAGACCCTCCCTCCCCTCTACCCCCTTCTCCACAAATTATGGAGATGAAAACATTATAGGGAAGGGAGCTTTGGCGGGGTGAGAGGATTAGGGTAAAACACAGAGCGACACTGAGCCCCCCATAGCCCCTCCAACTCACCTCAGCACAACCTAGCCCAGCACCCCCAACCCACCGGGGAGCCATCCTAGAACTGCAGCATTCTCCCCTCTCCCAGGTTCTCCCTGTCACCCCACATCCTGCTGCCTCCCAGCATCTGCCAAAACCCCACAGGCATGGGAGGGTGAGAAGACACCCCACCACCACCCCCAAACCAGCAGGGATGGAGATGGGGTCATGGTCATTCATGCCTTCCCCCCTAGAGAAGAAATCTCCAACCAGACTGCTCTTGCCCCATATGGCCCTATATCCACGCATCCAGGTATGTAGCTGTATGTGTATGTGCACACATATATGTGGATATATATGGACTTTCATACATACATATATATAAACCCAGAGACAGATCCATATATCCAAACATACCTGCACATATATATTTTTATAAAAAAAATATATTTAACAGAGATAGAGCCATAAACGGTTATGGAAGTATATGTCCACATCTGTGTGTGTACTGATCTAGGATGTGTGGAGACATATTGACATACGCATACACATGCATATATAAAGCATACAATAATAAATATATAATACATAATAGCATATTATTATAATAACATATAATGATATGTAACATAGGGCATAACGATTTTTTATATATATGTCTGCGTGTGTGTATAGAGGCAGGTGAGTAGGAAGGTCGGGGTCGGGGTCGGTGGGGGGAGCCCCGCCCGCGCCCCCGCAGCCCGGCGGGACGCCCCCTGCCCCGGTGCCGGTGCCCTCCCCGCGGGCGGCGGGGCCTTACCCAGGAGACGAACCGCAGCAGGGTCTGCGGCTGCCGGATGAAGGCCTGCGGGTCGAAGGCGCCGCCGGCTTTCCCCGCTCCGAAGGCGCCCCCGTCCATGGCGGTGCGGGGGTGGGCGGGAGGCAGGCGGGGGGCTCGGCGGGCGGTGCCGGGCTGCGCCGAGCCGAGCCGGGCTGCGCCGAGCCGCGCCGAGCCGAGCCGTGCCTGGCAGCTCGGCGGCGACGAGCCGCGCGCTCCCGCCCACGGGGACGCGCCGCGCCGGGAGCGCGCACCCACCCCTTCCACGCTACCACCCCCCCCCGCCCTGCCGGCGCTGCCGCCCGCGGCACATCGCGGCGGTCCGGGGCGGGTCTGGGGGCAAGGCGGCGGTGTCCGCGGGGCTGGAGTGTGCGCAGGGTGCTGGGGGCGCGGGCACTGCGGGTTGCAGCATGGGGGTCTGCGGAGGGCGGTGCGAACACCTCCCGGTACAAAGGCAGCCCACCCCAGCGCCCCTGGGAGAAGGATGCAGGGGTCATAGTACGCTTTGTTTTGGTAGGTCCTAGCAGAAGCGCGGGGTCAGCCCCCAGCCACTCACACTCTCTCCTTGGCCCTAATGGGGCCACATCTGGAGTGCTGTGTCCAGTTCTGGGCTCCTCAGCATACTGACTGAGAGGGAGACAAGGAGCTAATGGAGAGGATCCAGTGGATGGCCATGAAGATGCTGAAGGGTCTGGAGTATCTCATGAGGAGAGACTGCAGGAGCTGGGCCTGTTCAGTTTATGGAAGACTGAGAGGGGGTCTCATGAATGCATATAAATATCTCAAAGGCAGGTGCCAAGAGGATGGTGCCAGACTCCTTTCAGTGATGCCCAGTGACTGGACAAGGAGCAATGGCCACAGACTAAAACACAAGAAGTTCCACCTCAATATGAGGAAGAACTTTTTTACATTGAGGGTGGCAGAGAAGTGGAACAGGCTGCCTAGGGAGGAGACATTCAAAACCCACTTGGCCACAGTTCCTGTGTCACCTGCTTGAGGTGATGGTGCCTTGGCAGGGGAGTTTGATTAAATGATCTCGAGAGGTCCCTTCCAACCCTAAACAATTCCGTGATTCTGTGATGCTACCCCATAGAGGCTCCCACAGAGGGGTAAGGCTGGGCCCTTGGATGTGGCCCGTTATCTCAGAGGTGTGGTCAGTGCTGCTCCCCCACTGGACACCTGCCCCCAGGCAGAGATGCCTGATGAGCCTCAAAATCACACTGCAGCGAAGTCTAGGGCTCTCATTTGCAACATCCTTCACCCTGCCCACACCGAGTCCCTGGGAGGGGGCAGCAGGAAAAGGCCCTTTGTGAACATGGGGAATCCAGATTTTGGGGAGAACCCCCAACTCTGGGAGGCAGAGACTGCAAGATACACACCTTGCACTCCTGAGGCTGGAGCAAGGACTTCTCTGGCACCCACAATACCACCAAGGTCACCAGCACAGCAAGGAAGGGATGTGTGAGGACAAGCTATCTAGCCTTAGGGACAGTTCAAGCAAATTGGCCCATGCCTTCTGCACAGAGTAGCTGCACACCAGTGGCCTACTGGCTGCTGCAGAGTCCCTGATAATCTGTATTACATGGACTGAAATGGAAAGCAAGCCCTTGGATTGTAACATGGTTCCCTAAACTCAGCAGTGGAAGCCAAAACCATGCAAGAGCTAGAGAAAATGTATGGGGGAGATAAAAGAGCATTTAAAGCTGGCCTATGGTCACCCATTTGGAGCTGCGCTCCAAAAAGTGGGCAGCCATTCCGCATCTTTTGTGGGGCTCATTTTGAGGGGCAGGCTGGAGGTAGAGGATGGACATTGCTCCATCACATCCAGCCATAGAATCCTAGAATGGTTTGGGTTGAAAGGGACCTTAAAGACCATCTAGTCCAAGCCCCCCGCAATAAGCAGGGGCATCATCCCCCTTTCTAGGGAACCAGTCTGCCAGGTTAGAGCAGGCAATGAAATGTCCTCCAAACAAAGCACATCTTGGTCTGTATGGGCTTTTTCATGCAGGTTTGCACACAGATCCCTTCAGCAAAGCCTCCAGCCTTGGGTTTTACTTAACCTGCAGGGACTGGAGTGGGGGAGGGAGGGTGGAAGGTCTCTGGGAGTTGAATAAGTGTGTTTAACAGCTGGATATGCCCTCCTTAATTATTTCACACTAGGTGGGTAACCAGTCTCCCCATGCTGAATGGCTTAGCTGTGTTACACCAGTGCAGTTGGCAGTGGGATCTGGCTCTATCATCATCATCATGGCTAGGCTTCGTGAACGAAGATTTGGGAAGGAGTCTACCCACATGTGTACAAGCACATGTAGGTGCTTGTACCTACAAGCACGCTGGTGGCTCTATAGGTTGGTGTTGTTTAATTGATGTCTGCAGTAACTTGATATAACTGTAATGTGCAGCACTACCATTGCATGTTACAGGTCAGCATCCCTGCGGTGGGAATTCTGATGGTTGTGGTGCCACCGTCCCCGGCAGGGAGGGAGGAGGCAGGGCAGGAGTCATCCCAGGGGGCACCAATCTCTGCATAGTGTTATGTTTGTCAAACACATCCTCATCTGTAAGCCCTAGGAGACAGTGCGGGCAAACTTTGGGTGCCCCATGTGTGAGAAGCTCCAGACCACCCAGCTCTGGGTTCCACTGTTGTTGTGGCCTTCAGTGTGCATCCCCTTTTGTACCACAGGCTGCGGTGGATTAAGGCCCATGTTTCTTATAATAAGGCAAATTTATCTACTGATTCCCAATTTATTCAGCCTCTGGATGTCGTGAGGCTGGATCTTACTATTCAGCAGTTTAGTTATTTTCCACAGATTGCCTCGTGGGTGCATCTAATACCATCTCAACCACCCAGTATCGGCTTCCTTGCTTTGCTCATGTTCTGCATCCTTAACCCAGAGAGGGGCTGTAAGTAGCAGGATGTGGCCATCAGCTGAGCTGGCCAGGTTCTGAGGTTTACCAGCCACCTGGATGCCTGATGCCATGCCTGTTATCTGAAGCCTGGGTTCAGCCCACCTTACTTGAGCTGAGGCTCTCAGGCTGACCCAGAGGCAACGTGACACCCTGACGATTACGGTGAGCGGCCAGGAGTTGTTCCTCCAAAGGCATGACTCCTCTTTTCTCTTCTCTCCCAGCTGACAGGTGTATGTCCTGCATCTCCAGTGATGTGAAAAGTTGGGTAAGCACTTTGTATGTCCTATGCTAACCCGTGGTGGTCCTTGAAGGGACCATGTCTCACAGCATCATTTTCTTGACACTTCCTCACCTGGTCTTTAGCTGGGCAGGTAGCTGGGCAAAGTGGGCAGCTCTGCTCAGCCCTCTTACCCTCTCCTGCCCCTCAGACATGGGTCCACCATTTAGGGTGGTCCTCCTTCCTCTCCTCAGCTGAGAGATGCAAGATTTCTGGCTGAAGATCAGAGCTGCTTCAGGGGATGTTTCAGCCAGAGCTGTGCAGCACATCAGTTATCCTGTAAGGGTGCTGTGCAGTTCCCAATCCAGAGAAGTCTGAGAGAGCTTCTTCAGCCGGGTCCTGTCTGATTTCCTGGTGTCGATGAAAGGAGAGTGAATAATTTATCTCCTGTCTCTCAGCTCCTTCCCTGTTCAGGTTTCACCTCAACTTTGCTTCACTCCTGCCCAGAAGATATGCAGCACCAGCTCCCATGCTGGCAAGTTTCTGATGTGGTCTAAGCTATCCAACATCTCCCAGAGACACAGCTGGTCCTCACGGTACTCATCCATGTGCCAGAGCAGCAGTAAATGGAGCAGGAGAAATAACAGCATGAATAGCAACTAGTCCAGGCAGCTTCCACTGAAAGCCTTATTTTCAGTTTCTCTCTCACAGCACAACTTCAGCACGTACATTGGTTTTATTGTTTACTATTAATTCAACTGCAGCACACAGAGACCCTGATTGAGTTTGGAGCTGCGCTGTACCAAGCACTGTGGGAATATACAGCAGGACACAGCCCCTGAAGAACACGGAATCGTGTCCCTGCATGAAGGAAGAGAAGTTATTTGATACCTTTTTCTATTTTGAGATACGTGCAAAAATTGTGGGATGGCGATGCTGGCAGTGAAGCCTATTTTAATTAATTAATTTTTAATTTTTTCTCTCTTTTTAGTGTGTTTCTTCACATTACCTAACATTATCTTCAAGCTGCGATGTAGATTTGTCAGGTGCCTTTTGCTCAGGGCTCATCAGAGCCTCCCATGGCTGTAGAGCTATTTGAGAAAACCAGTCAAACACTGCATTGGGACACCCCATCCAGGCAGGCACTCGCTCCCAGCTTGGAACCAGCATATTGTTTTCGTGGAAAGGAAACCCCTGGCCTGTTCAGGGAGGCAGCCTGCAGTGGGACACACTGTCTGGCATTACATACATCCATAGGATGACACGGGGACGTCATGGGTTTGCATAACGCGATAAAGAACCACAGCCAAACTGTGATAAACTAAGAAAATGATTCGAGCTAATTAAGAGAAAACAGTGTAAAGTCAATATGACTTGGAGAGAAAAGAAAAACAAGTCGTAAAACTTAATTGGGCCCCTATAAAGAGAAAAAACAAGTTACCTCCCTTTTACCTTGTGTAGGATGTATGGTGAGAGAATTTTGTTTAGTTAG